AAAGAGAGAAAAGGAATAAAATCAAACTCGAGTTAATTACATAAAATGAAAGAATGAATGATTCGAGTCATTTAAGATGCGAAAATATACTAAAACAAATCGTAAAAACAACCTATTACAGAAAATAATTCTTCGTGTGTGTCAAACTGTAAATCGTTAGATTAATTATTAATCTTCTCTGCACATTCATTGTAAAATTGTTACCTTTGCAAATCTATACTGAACTATATAGTTAAGCAAAAGCCGCTGCTAGAATTGACTACATGTAATTTGTGTGCGTGGTTTCACGGTGTTCTGGCTTATGGGAAAAATAGCTCGAGCGTATAAAAATGTTACTTTTATTATTGTTCTACTTCTGCCAAGAATAACACGTGAAACGATCGATTCGTATAATTTCATTATGAAAATAATTCTTGTCTCTGGAAGCTTGTTATTTTTAATCTAATAGCTTTCTATACGATTGTGTATAATACAAGCGTAGAAAAGTTTCGAACAATTAATAATAGATAAATAATGCAATGCGATAATAAAACAAATGCTTTATAGAAAGCACCTATCCATCAAATTTGAATTAATTCACTTTTTTAAAAAAAATTCGGAATTCGAATATCGAAGTTTCCTCGAAATTTTATATAAAAACAAGAATTCGGCGAAAAAAGATCGAGAGAAATTAATGAAAGAAAGGGTACCATTATCACAGTTTAAGTGGAAATAATTTGAAAAAGATTGTCTACTTTTTCTACGCGATATTTTCCTAAAAAAAAAGAAATAATAAATGGAAATAGCAACAAACGGTTATCTAAATCCTTATATATCAATAAAAAGTAATAATAGAATGTGCAATTATTATGATGTGTTTTCATCATTGTTAAGGGATATCTGGCTGAGAAAAAATAGTATATCAAATGCCCAAAAATTTGCCGAAGGTCTGTGTACCTACCTACGTTCAAAAAATTATAAATTCCTATAAATGCTTGCATTTAAGAAGAATCATTCAAGACAGTTTGTAAAAGATCGCGAATTCCTCAACCGTATTTTGATCGTACCATTGCGGAATTTAAGAACAAATACCTAAATGTAACTTCTCCCAAACAATTTTACGCATTTTTTAAAATTATCGTGCGACCGGGCATTAATCGAACAGGCAATACTACAAACGAAGAATATCCTACGTGGAAGAATGAATCCCGAAAGCTTGAAAGATCTTGTTTTTAAAACCGGGTTTGTTAGGACTAGCGTCGTTGTGGCCAGACTGTCCTTCATGTAGCGCCCTTTGTACCAGCGGCAGCGAGCCCTGTGATTGTGTGTTGTGTCGCCAATTCATCATAACGGGCCGGATAACGAAAAAAGAACAAAAAGAAAGAAGAAAAGGATAGTAGACGGACTAATCGTGTGCTACAACATGCAGTGCAACTAAAATATTTTTTCTTATATCCGACACAACTTACCTCGTCGTGTTGCTCGTGTTCGCTATTGGCTAAACTGGATCGCGAGCCGCGTCTCGTCGATCCCTTCTCTTCTCCTAAAAGCTGCGCAACTTTTCCTTGCTTCACGAACTCCAATGTCTGCTTCAAATTAGATGAAACAATTTAAGTAACAAATGCCTATAATTTCCTTGATTAAAATAAATTTGTACGATAGAGATTTCCATTTAATAATTTAATAATATCAGGGAATGCAACATATTCGATTAATTGGCATTTATATCAGTGAAAATTTTTTCTTACATTTTTTCATTACATTCTACTTCTACATTTTTTTCAATTTCCTTTACTGTGCTATTTATACTATTACCTATACAGTAAAAGAGAATATTCATATTTATATCATATGATGAATAATTATTGAACTTACCTCTTTTCGTGACCTAAGAGCACAATCTTCTAATGTTTCTGCAGCCTCGTATTTTCCTTGTCTTCGATATAATGCACCAAGATTTTTTAGGGTAGTTGTGACTGTAGGAGAATCCACTTTAGCAGCTTTATGCCAACCTCCGTATTCTCCATACGGAGTATTCTCTTTATTTCTATGCTTATTTTCTTCTCTTTCTTCCGCAACCTGAAACAAAAAGTGTTTCATATCGCAAATATTTATACCTTGCACATCATTTTCAAAATTTAAAAAGCATTCTTACCTGCCAAATTGGTTTGTTATCACCGGCAATAGCACCAAATTCTTTTTCGTGTGCTCTAGTCAATACTTGTTTATACAAAACTTCAGCATCTTTGTATTTTCCTTGCTTCAAGTAACACGATGCCAGATTATTTTTCGTCTTTGCAACATTAGGATCATCCGGTCCCAGTTTACCTTCATAAATTTCTAGCGCTCGCAAGTAATAGCGTTCTACCTCTTCGTATTTACCCTGATTCTGACACAGCAACGCAAGATTATTCAATTGCTTCGCGACATCAGGATGATCACGACCGAGAACCTTCTCTCGAATATCGAGAGCACGTTTGCACAATGGCTCAGCCTCTTTATATTTGCCCCGTTTCCCATATAAAACAGCCAAGTTATTCAACGTAGCAGCGACTGCAGGATGATTTTCACCGAGCGTTTTTTCACGAATAGCCAAGGCATCGTTCAACAAATTCGCCGCTTCTTTATATTTATTTTGATCTCTATATACTAAAGCAAGAATGTTCAACATTGTGGCAACATCAGGATGATCATGACCAGAAGTTTTTTCCAAATCCTCCAATGCTTGCTTGCATAAGGGAACAGCTACTTCATAGCGGCCTTGGCTCGCGTACTGTATAACCAAATTGTGCAGCGTACGCAAACGTGCAGGTATCTCGTATCCAGCATTCACTTGTTGTGCAAATTGTGAAGGCGGTGTCGGTGATATTGCTGCAATAATAATGGCGAACATAGAAAAAAGTGGTCCTTATCGAGACAATTTAAGTCTGTGTGAAAGGAAATCTTACTAAAACATTCTTCAATAATAATGACTTGAAATTTATCATAAATTTTTATGATAATATAAATTTTTAGAATTTTTATCAAAATTTTTTGGTTGAAATATATTTAAATCTAAAGAGAAAGAAAACAGTTTCAGTAAAATCTCTTTTATTATTCACACAGACTTAAGAAAAAATTCAAGCATCCATAAAAGATGCTTGTTAATAAAGAAAGAAAGTGAACGTACACTTACTATTTCGGTCGTCCGCATCATCATCGGGGAATAGATCAACCACAGGATCATCTGGCGGTCTGTCTTTAGCATTTTCATCATCCGCGGAAGGATCAGGATCGTACTGTTTCATGCTTTCCATAAAATCTAAATGTTTCTTTTGTTCTTCCAACTGGACTAGCTAGTGAAGTGATTGAATATTTCAATTTCTCAAATTATTTCCTTATGATAAATTCTATTACGATAAATTTTATATAATTTTATTACTTACTGCTTGTTCACTGGCTTGCAATTTTTGCTGTGTACCAGCCAATTCATCTCTTAACCAGGCATTTTCTTGGCACAACCTTCTTACTTGTGTTCTAAGCTTTTGTTTCTCAGCCTCTACCATTTGTAAGTGATTTGCAAGAGCCATCATAACTTGTGCCTCTCCAAGGCCTAATTCTATCATCTCGATATTCTTTGATAATAAACTAGCTTTGTCTCTTGCGACTGGCGCATCTTGGGTCTGCAAGGCTTGAAGAAGTCCTCCATGTTCTACACGGAGAGCTTCCAGACCCTGGGCCACAATTCTGGCACCAGCCATAATTTCTTCCTGCGTCATGGCCGTCATTCTACCAATATTTTCTATTTTTTTGCTAAAAATTAAGAAAAGAACAATTATAACAGAAATTCGATTCATATAAAAACACCATAATAATATTTTCTTATTTTAAATAATTATTTTAAATAATTATTAAATAATTCAATTCGTATTAACGTATTGTTTTTTAATCAAAAGATATAAAATTGAATGTAAAATTTTTATAATAATTTATATTAACTATTAATTATAATATAATTCTCACAATGATAATAAGTAATGATAATAAGGCTGCATTTTGTGCAGATTTCTGTAGTCGTAACTAAGCAGAAAGCATAAGGAAAAAGGTAAAACAGAGGTAAGCGGTATTTAGAACGACTTGCTTTACGCGCCAATAATTAACTGCAATCAAAAATAGGCATCGCGAAGTATTTCAGTCGAAGCAAGCAGAACGTATCCGGCATTCGTATATAAGAAGAACATTTTCGAACCTAAACCAATTAGAATGAACTTTGTTTTTATATAAATATACAATCTTGATGATCCAATCGTTGAATATAACTATCTACAAGCTTTTGGAATATTCCAATACCAATTATCATAAAATTAATTCGAATAAAAACTTACCCCATGTCAGGGCCACGTTAAATCCACAGAAATCAATGGTTTAGTATATATGCGCAGGCGCAATTGCAGCGGCGCTTTTTGTATGCGACACGACGCACCAAATAAAAGTCAATTTCCAAGACAGAAGAGCTAGTAAAACTTTTACGTGTCGCAAAGATGATTAACTTTGCTCGTAAGAAGGATCAACTAACGACACGAAACACAAAAATCATTCGAGACAAACTCGTTTTAATGGAAAACTTACCCCATGTCACGACCGCGTTAAAACCCAAGCGAAATCAATCGCTCAGTAATACTGCGCAAGCGCAAACACCATGGCGTGTTCTTTTATGCGACAGAACGTATATAGGTATACAAAAGAAGATGGTAAAATTTCGAGAGAAAAGAGCAAAAATTCCCGACGCCGTGCGCAATCGATAAAAACGACCGGAAGTATAGATACATGAAAAGATACAGGGATGTAGCCAGGTCAAGATTTCAAAGTTCTACACCTGTAAACCTTGACCTTACAATATCGTGTAATCTTCTTTCTAAACAAGCCTTGACCTTACAATATCGAAATACTGCATAGTTTTAACAAACTGATTTGAACAAGATTTTATACTTTCATGTTTGACATTAATTAACAGAACTGATTTTTCCAAAGGTTATAACTTAACAGGATAATAAACACACAGAGAGAAGATACCAACACCTTTATAAATTAAATTTTTGACACAGCAATGAAGAATAATGACAAGAAAAGTAAGAAAGTTTCGCATCAACTTGGATTGATTTCTTATTAAAATTAACATTAATATAGAATATTATTATCGCGTGAAAATAATATTGTATTAATAAACAATGGAAAGAGTCACATATAATAAAATTTTTTATATCAATGTTTTCCTTCATCAATATATTCCGACATCTAAGCATATTTCAATTTAGAGGAAGAAATTGTTTTCATTAATTTGTAAATCTAACCGAAATTTTCTTCGATGCCATACATCCAATTATATTAATGAAAAAAATTAAAAAAAAAAAAAAAAAAAATTAAAAAAGAAAAATTATATATGAAGTTTCTAATGAAAGTATATAGCAATTAGAGCTTGGTATGTTTACGTAAAAAGATAGCAACGTAGGAATATTTAATCGAATAATGTTAAAAAAAAAAGAAAATTGAACAAATAGATAATGATCAAAATGAATTGTATAAAGATTTGTAAGTAGGAGAACTACTCACATTCTATAAGCGTTCAGCGTTTTTGACATATCTGTTCTACCCATCGGTAATGTTGGATTCTGTTGAACCTACCTAATCCGTGTACAAAAAAAATTTAACTTTCTACTATATCGATCTGTTTTTCGTTTCTTCGCGAACAGTCGGGACCGTATTGTCACTTTCAGTCAATCGAATTTGTCGTAAAAAAGTCATTTATTCCGTTTTCAACAGTACAAAAATAGAATCTGTACAATATACATATATATACACTACAGTGTCCCGCAATGTAATTTCTAAAGGGGGCACCTCGCGGAATCGCGTTTAATTCTTTACTGAGGACTAAGGTTTGGCTTCGCACCCTTTGCACAAAAGACCGACACAACGGGGGCGGAAGAGGGTGGAAAGATTGCGCATGCGCTTCGATTTCATGGGTGTTCCTATAGTTGCACAAAATACATGCAAGAATACCGGTATATCTATGTGAAATATACACAAGAAAATAAATGATACGTTACTACATTAAGAAAAGCTTTATGCTTAGTGTCGTTACGGTCTCATACTATGCAAATAAACGTCAGTCGGTCAGTAGGAATAACCGGAGGGTGCGTAAGGGTACGATGAATGAAGCTCCTAAGAGAAGGGTGTCACGCGTGTATGACACTTAACACTTTAAGAAGACGCGTATCTTTTATAATTTCTTCCACATGAACTTTCTACAAAATAGAATACGTATATATAAAAATTCTAAAAACTAACAGAATTAATGTTTGAATTTAAATTAAATCTTTCTTATTTCTCTCTTTATAACTTTTTTTTAAAATTAATAATTTTAAAATAAACCGAAAAATAGAGAAAACAATTAATGAAATACCAATTTGCAACATATGCTGATATAGAAAAATAACGATAGTTATTTTTAAATTAATTAATTACAGTGAAAATCAGTATGTTTTAGAAGTTATACCAGACGGTAAAGAATATAAGTACATAGAGTGCCAGTTTTCGCTATCTTTTTCGCTTCAAGGAGAACAAAGACAGACGATAACCGATGACTCACAGCATGACGACAGAACATTACAAGTGCTGTACCATGTGCACGCATTCGTAGAAAAGTTTACTACATGCAACCATGTCTATTTAACACAACATTGCTTTCACAAATTTAATTGGACTAACCTGTAAAGAATATGCTAACGTTATTAAATGTTTCCAAAATCTCCTCCGTTTTATCGAAACGAGTTTCTTTTAATTATATTTATTATGCATTTGTTTATTAAAAATTTTTTTTTTATAAAATCTTCATCTACGTGAATAAAGATATAAAAATATATTATATATAATAAAATAAAAAATATTTACAAAAGTAATAATATCAAAATTGATTATATAATCTTCGTAAATAATATCTTATGTATTTATGACGCATATAAATCGATAACGTTGAGAAAAGCACGTGCATGAGTATTTGACATAAAACAAGGTAAACAATACATATGTCATAGTTTAAGTTTAATATAATTATCTTATATCGTAAAATATATCTTATGTGTTAAAAAAATAAAAACATAGTAATATTATTTAAAAACACGAAACATAAACTTTATAACATTAACAACAAAGTATATTTTTATGATATATTTGCTATTTTATATGAAATTGTAAATTTATAAAGAAAACTCAACGAATAAAATTTTGGATGGAATTTTCGAAAGTATGACAGAAAAAGGTCAATGATAGTATGAATAAATGCAATAAACTTTTCAATCGCAAATGGTTCTGAATACGTGAAACAATTGAAAATCTATATTAGTAAAGAATAACGGCCAAATCATTGATTAAGATTCATATCATGTAACAATTGCATATTCGTTTCAAGTTTGCATATATAATGAATCGTGATGACAATTTATAGAACTTTAGTTAAGAATACGTTATACTAGTTCTTGAAATATTTGAATAAATAATTTAATTATTGTTGTAATTTTTTAGAGGTTAGAAATTTAGAGTTTATAATACAATTGAATATCCATTCATTATTTTTAAAAAAATTTTTAAGAATATATAAAATAATTATAAAAATAATTATAAAACACAAAAGGATATTTACAAATAGAAATTATTTAATTAGAAAAATTAATATTTTATTTTAATAATCTTATTTCCATTTATTTGAGAAATTGTTTAGCATTGTTTATCTGCATATATGCATTTATATAATACAATATGCATAACAATATACATAATAGAATATTAACATCATGAAATTCTTCTTAATAAAATAGAATTTTTTTAGCAAATTTTTTTAGAAAATTTAATGAAATGCGCTCCTTTCTAAATGTATTAGAATAGAGGTAATTATCATTCTAATCATCGTCATGGTCACTGGTTTTCTGTCATGGTTTCGCAGAATCTTACGGAAATTAAAATGATTTACTTCCGGCTATAATCACGTATCGAAGGTGTGGTAATTTAAAACTGAACGGACCAATTACTCTCCATTTGTATAAGTACGAAGAAAAAGATGTTTGAAAAGTCACGACAGAGTCGAGAACTTACCTTTGTGAACGGTCCACGCAGGAATTCTTGTCTTTTCAGTGTATCATCCCACTTCTTTAAGGATATTTCGATGTATACGTTGAAAACGAACCTTTAAGAGAATTTACAATAAAAATATACATTTTTACAGGCTTAGCTTGTACAATATTTTATAATTCGTATTTTATAAGTATATAATTTGATAGCAATGATAACGTTGAATCAAACGTTGAAAAAAACGAATTCCACTCACCGGTCTCAGTCACAAATTCACTGTAAAACGATATTGCAATGCGAAAGATTATTAATCGAAGTTTTGTTTAAAAATTGTTTTCACCGATTAAGAGAAATACGAAAAAAGCGACACTAAATTTTATTTCTACACATTTGATGACAGAATAAGATGGCGTGAATCGTGCAAGTTAATAAAAGTATGATAACCACATATTTCACGATTCGGATACCGAATAAACAAGTATAGAGTATAGTTTACACTCTTGTAATATTAAAGATTTCCGTTAAATTACGTATGAATAAAAAATACGTTCGTTAAAACGAATAAATTGACGACAATATCTCCAGTATGTAAGTCAACCTTCAGTCGATTGTAAAAGCGCGACTGAAGCGACTCTAAGTGATCGCAGCGCCAATCATCGGAATTTTCTAAAATTTAAGCCGATTTCTATGAAATATATCATGTTTTAAAATAAAATATAATATAAACTATCAATATAAAAAAATAGTTAAACATACTATCACAAATGAGATGCAAAATAGATATAACATTCAATACATTTTTTGATCAATATTATGAGAGTTTTATTAGGATCTTTTTATTATTTTAATGTTATTCTCAATGTACCAATTCTGCTTAAAATAAGATTACAATATATTTTTAGTAATATTTAAAATTAAATCAAGTTAGTAATAAATAACTGAAATTGAAATTAAATTTCAATAAAAATTATAAAATAAGTAGAAGAAATATTTTATATCATTTTATAAATATATCTTATAAATGTATATAAAATATTGCATTTTATATAAAATTTTTATTTTTATAAATTAAAACAGTTTAAAAATATATTTAATATATTTATAATAATATCTTTATAAATATGTTTCGTGAAATCATCATCCTTATATAGTTAAAATATAATATCTATATTTTAAAGAATCAGATACATTGTATTAAAAAACGATAGAAATATATTCAATTTGATATTCTATATCTCTAATTAAATATATTACGTGCAAAACAAATATAGATAAAGAGAGAAAATATTACAAAAATATAAAATAAAAATAGAGTAAAAATTATAAAATCAATCAATCAATCAATATCAATTTCATCTCTAGAAATAATAATTAATAGTCACTAATACTGTAGATAAAATAGATAGAATAGCATACATAATGGAAAGAATAACAAATAATAGAAGAATAAGAAATAGCGTAAAAATTGGAAATCTCTATGTGCCATCTCTCGAGTGCTTTTAGAAAAGATTCTTTGAAAAGATGTCTTTTACACTCAAGAGATGACGCTTACGGTTCATTTTTATTTTCTCTCATCTTTCTCTCTTTACTTTTTGTATTTCATTTGTAACACTCCAAAATGACATCACAACTTCACGTTTATTATCTTATCTTCATCCTTCTCCCATTATTTGCCATGCTTAAATAAACTCTATAGTTACTAGCGCATGATCACAAATATGCAAAATATGAAATATCAATTGAATATATTTTCTTTCTTTCAAATATTTTAAATTTATGTTTTCAATAATTAAAACATTCGTAGTTTTTTATCGCTTTAACGACTGTTATATCTGTAAACTACGAATAATATCCGTATAATAATTAATTTATTAAATAATCATAATGTTATAATATCTATTTAAAAATATCTACAATTAAAATTCTAATTCATAACACGTGCAATATTTTTATATAAATCATTGAGGAATCATAGTAAAAGAAAAAAATTAAATAAAATCTGTTATTTGTAATATCCATTTTTTAATTCGAGAAAATAAATAAGTCATGGAAATACTTTAGAAATGATATAAAAAACGATATATTGCGGTAAACCATATTTATTTGAATAATTATTATTTGAATAGTAAATAGATACAATAGAGAACGCTTTTAGCAGGCCAACTTCCCAATAACGGCAGAGAACTATCAATATTTTATTTCTTCTAAAATAGATGCATATCAATGTATAGAAGCATCTTGTTTTTTTTTTTTTTTAAATCTCTCAATAATTAATTAGGAATAATGTATAGGTAATTCGTAATCGCCTTATTAAAAACAATTAAAAGTGTTACGGTACAGATAAATATTGCTAACTTGGGAACAGTTAAAATTTCTCATATATATATAATGGCATTCATAATCACTTCTTGGCCTAAAATAACAAAATGCTATATTATAATACATTGCATTGCGACTCTTTGTATCGTGTGAGAAATAATCGTTCGTCATCATTTATCGGACATATTTTTTTCTATTCTTCTTCTTCTATTTTTTTATGTCCGACTACTGAGCATCTTTTTAAATGGCATCAATATCAAAATCATCTTCGTCATCCGAGTCTTCATTGACTACAGCAGGCTTCTGCATAGGGGGTGACTCTTGTGGTTTTAGTGATTGTTTGGCTCTATCGTCGTATTCAATCTATTATAATAAAAAGCAAAGAAAGGAAGAAATTAATTATTATAATTTGAGATGAATATAATTAAAAAGCAAACACTTTACCTCCAAATCATCGTCTTCTTCTTCTGGTTCAGAATCCTCTTCTTCTGCTTCTTGTAACCAAGTTAAAAATGGTGCAGCTTTATCGTGAATTTCTTGGGATAAATCTTTTGATACGTATTTTTTAGTCACTTTGTTTGACCATTCGAATAATGCTTTTTCTTCCAAAATATCAGCATCGTAAAAGAGCTAGAATAACCAATAAGGATCATTATGATTTTTCATTTAAAATATAATAATTATATAAACGATTAATGATGAATATAATAATTTGTTTTACCTTTAAAATGCCAGGTACTTTCGGCATCAAAGCATCTTTATGCAGTGCTATTACTTGTTCAATTCCTCTAATTAAATATTTCTGCGCCTTAATATCATCGTGGGTAAAACGAAGGAGAAGTACTCGATACTTTTTAGCTTGAGCAGCAATATTTTGATCGAAGAGTAGTTCGGCCAGAATCAATGGCGCTTTTGTCTTGATTTCCAGACGTTCGGCCTCTGTGATCAGCTCTTTATGATTATCCAATTGCCCAGCGTCGCGACGACATTTAACTAACTTATAAAACATGTCCATCCTCTCTTTTTCAGTCTTGTCAAGATCATCGCTGATGGTCATTCCTTTTGCCCCGTCCGTCAAGTCTTGTAGACGGGCTCTGACTGCCTCCTCTGACACGTCGACTGCCCAATTATCATCATCTCCGTTCTCATCCGCCATTTTTTCAGGAGCCTCGACCACGATATCGGTGGTGTTGGTATCGTTTTCCGGAGAACCAGATCGATCACCATTAGCAGTAGCAGTGGTTGTAGTAGTAGTTGTTTCACCATTCGCACGTTTTGAACGTTTCCCACGTTTACCTTCAGTTAAAGAACTACCTTGAACAGCAGGATTCAAGCTCGGCGGGTTCTTTAGAATATAAGTGTTCAATTTATGATTACTTTCCAGTAGTCCGTGATAACCACATGCTTTGCATCCCTGTGAAATAGTCCCTTTTTTCGAACTGACCATCAATTCGGTCTCAGGATTATCGCAAGCCGGGCATAATACATATTTGCGAATGAATCCATCCAAAAGATCTTGCAATTTTGTAGCATCGTGCGAACCATTTACTATAAATCTTTCATTTTTGAAATCGAATTGAGTTTGTGCTCCGAGCTCGCAACCAAAGTATTTAGTAGGATAGGTGGCAGGTCTTCCAATCGCTTTCGCGACATCAACCATATTCACGATCACGGTTTTGATACCATTTCCCTTGCCTTCTACTTTGGCTTGAATCCGTGGCATTTTATACCGATAAAACGCATCGCTGACATTACGATTTACGTTGACACTCCCCATGGTGATTGATATTTCCACTTCTTGCTCCTTGCTAAATTAATATCCCCTCCAAGCGACAACAGCAATTTCTGACGAGACGTCGTTGTGAAAACAAGTTGTTGGCAAATGGTGATGCAAGCGTCGAATTGTCGAAAGCTACCAAGCTTTTTCTGGTCGATCACTCTCGTTCTCTCTGGATTCTATTGGCCCCTATCTTTCTATCGTTCAAGTAGGTAACGTTTTCGTCCTCGTCCTTCTGGATCTACTTTCCACGTTTCCCAGCGGCAGTTTGATTGCTGTGCAGCGACGTTGCCAGGCAATGGCTACCCGATGGTAGCTCGTTACGTGTCGAGTCAGGGTGATTTTCGTTGTCTGCGGTTACGTATGCCGCACTATCCGTTGACACCAGTCACGTTTCTCTGAACGGCTGTAGCTTCCGATGCCTATTACTAAAAATATATAATATTTTAGAATTTAACTCGTCTTTTTTTCTTCTTCTTTATTCTTAAATACAACATTTTCTAATCTAAATATAAAGTGTAATAATTGTAATAATAACAGAGTTAGAAATAGATTTTCTTAAAAAGAATATTGAACACTTAAAAGGAAGAAAAAATTGTAATAAACATTCGTTTTTCCTTCGTTTTTTCATCTTCGATTATTCCTATATAAACAGGGCATAAAAAACGCATTCTATCGATGCCAACCTGGAAAATTTTGAGGTCCTGTGCTTAGGCAGGACTAGATGATTCAGAAATCGTTGGGTAGTATCTTGATGCAAATATTGCCTCGGTTTGGTGGGCAGAGGGGGATAGTCTTCAATGATCATACACGCTGCCTGTCCGTTGCTTGTGCCCCTAAGAAAGCCTGGGTACCAGGTTGGTGTGGTTAACTCACAGGTGGCTCGTAACGAACGATTAGACCGGTCGTAAGTGATGATGTTGCCGTTTAGAAATCGCTTGGACAACGTCCTACTACCGCCGCCTTTGCTGTACACCGATCCTTTCCCTCTGGATGATATCCTGGATGTTTCTGAAATGCGAAAGAAAACCGGATTAATCTCGTTTCAATATAAGAGAGAGAGAGAGAGAGAGATGAAACGACGACATCGAAATTCATTACCAATTCGTCAATTCGTCGTAGAGAAAACAAGGTAAGTAATAATCACGAACTTGTTATAATTCAAAGGATATATTAAAGATATTATTAAAATTTATAAAAGATATATACCTAATAAAAAAGTTGTTGACCATCTAAAATAAAAGGTTAAAATAAAATTACAAGAGATTTACCTCCCTATCATCAAAGACCATCAACAACGAACCTACATTCAATGAACCCAATCATCTCAATTCGAAGAAGACGTGGGACGCCTCGTAGACATCGAGACCCGTTTTACACTTTACGATCATAGATGAGAAATTTTTTTTCTTTTCAGGAACAGTTTTCTTCTTGTCCATCCGCGCACGAGGAACAGAGATGATTGAAGTGTCAGGCCTGCTAAAATCGTTCGCAAAATAGAAGCATCGGGAAATGATTTTCAGCATATGGCTTGTGAATCATTTGTGCATTGATTTGTTCGTCAATCGTTCGTGAATTTTGCCCGGTGTGTTAATATCATTTAGCTTGTGATGATTTAACGATCGTCCAGCCGATGCTCGGAGGTGATCGACCATGCGAAAATCATGATAGCGAAAGTCACACGCGGACTTGGTCTGCCGAAGAGAAACGTCTCGAGGTATCACTACCGGAAACGACGTCACGAAGATTCTTCGACGAGCATCATCGATCAGAAATGGAACAATCGAACGGCGGAAGATGATAAAAGACGATTGAGGATGACGAGGAGAAGTCGATCCACTCGTCTGTGGATCTTTCTTCCTCCTTCTCGGCTTCTTGCTCAACCATTTTTATTAGATTTCGACGCAAATCGTATATCTAAATCGTATATTCGTGTAATCGTACTTATTCGAATTTAAAATCTCTGATTTCTTGAAATCAAGAATCAAGTTTAATACATCGAAATAATAAAATTCACTGAAATATTTCTTGCGTGTGAAAATAATAAAATGATAATCATCGTTACAACTTTATATTAGTCATTCATTAACGAATTAATAAAATTAAAATTTCCCTGAGATACTTAGATATACATATTAATAGAATTTTCTTATTAAACATTTACGCGACCACGATTGTCATTCCAGATATTACAGATATTATAATGACAAACGTGTGTTCATACGTTACGTAAATCTTCGGTTAACAATTTTTTTCATACGGTCTAATTAGACACGATTTGATGCTAAGCACGAATTTTTAAATCGTCGCAACATCTGACATTAAAATTAAATTTATATCCCTTCGATTTATAATCGAAATTTCTTTCGTATGAAGAATTAAAAAGATTAATAGTAAAAATTTTGTAATAAAATTTCTCAAATTTCATGACCGCGTGACGTTTTCGCGAGATTCGACGAAAAAAAGATTCGCGGTTGCTTATTAACTGTAATATCGAAGCGATCATTCTCGATACGAAGCCAAACAAGGCTTCCGTGGAAACACTTCCGGTTATGTACACGTCCAATGCAAACAATACGGAATATATAATGCATCAATCAAAGTCATCCTTTCGAATTCATAAAAATATATACGTTAAAAAATGTGAAAAAAAAATAATAAACGTAGAATATCGCAGAAAAAGCGATGGCTGAAATTATTTTATCCGTTTTGAAACCGAAATTCGCGCGGTACGAATTGGATGAAAATTTGTGACATAATATTACGAAATATCGTGAAATGGTATCGAATGTTGAGAAAAGAGAGAGAGAGAAGAAAAAAAAACCAATTTAAGTTTGGAAGAACAATAAGAGAGATTTCACAAAAGTCAACGACGCCGAGTAAAGTTATTTTACCGGTGCACGCTCCAATTGCGGAACAACGTAGCGCAGCAATTTACAATGAAACCTTTTATATTTCATATCACAATCACAGCAAATTAATTCTCGCGTTGATTATGCTTTCCTTCGTTTCAAAACGAATTCGTGATTTCGCGGACGAATTATCGCTGCTTTCGTCGTATTTCCATTTTCGTAATTATTTCCCCTTCTGATTGTCGTTTATTTTTAAATTATCCATTTAAAGCCTATACAATCATAAATTTATATTTTTAAATTTCTAATTAAATTAGAAGAATATTTGAAGGTGTAATAATAATAATTACGAGATAAAGGTGAAAAAGTAGGGGGAGGGGAGGGGAGGGGGGGAGAAAAAAAATAATAAATCAATTAAATTGTGATAAAAATCGAATAATATCCACCTGAGATTTTATCGTATTAAGCGAGATTGCATTTCGATAGATGCGAAAGAAACGTAAAATTATCTTATTATGTAAAAGCAGAACATAATCCATCATATATAGATACGTCAGCGATATATTCGTGTAAAGATAGTCGATCGATTCGTATCAATCACTTCGATTGGATAAGATAAAAAACCAATACCAATCGCTTCGAATACCGAATTTTTCGTAATAATATCGTGAATGAAACATTTTATTTCGTTAAAAAAAACACCGTTTCAATTTTTCTGAACGAACGAAAAATGTGGAAAGAAAAATATCTAAATTGCATAATCGATTCCTATATGTCATTACGTTTTACTCTTTGCAATTTTCATAGAAATCGAATAAATATCGTATACACGTGAAACAATTTAATCGTAAAAGATATAAAGTACGGCTTGAAAAAAAAATGAAACTTCAACTACCGATAATTAATCGATAAATAACATTAATTTCCAATATCAAAACATGATAATAAAATTTTTTATTATTAATTAAAAAAATTATAGATCCGTTCGCACGTATACTGATATATATATGATCGCTTAGTTAAGAAGAATGGAAAAAAAATATTCGTCCATAAAAATTCGAAATTCCTTGAGAATTGATTATTCTCCCACACTTTATCAACGTCTTCCTTTAAAATATTCATATTCTCGCGTGTATATCGAGCGATCCGACATAACAATAGCTTAGAATTCTAACCGTATTATTCCACATCGATAGCCGTTTTTTTTCAATATATTGGTCGATTATTAAACGAGTTTTTTCCCCCAAAAGAAGAATTGACGGATCAAAATTGTTCGAAATTACACACATAATGGTATAATTTTGTGTTTGTATGTTAATAACTGTCTGGTAAAAAAAAAAATTGGTTGTCGTATAGTAACGAACGGTATTCGTGTAATTAAATTTTCCATGGATTCTCGAGAATGTTAATGAAACGACGACTAACCCGTTTTCTCGTGAAGTAACTGGAATTACGTGCGGTGAAGTTCCACTATAATTGAATAAAAAAAAAAAAAAATTGCTTATAAACTGCTTATAAATGGAATTTAAATATATACGAGATTCTATCGTAGCTAACAAAAAAAAAAAAAAAAACAAAAGAAAATAAAGAGAAACCGAATAACGTAAGAGGAACTGTTCAAAGGGGAATCACGTTCACCCACTTCCTTCTTCCATTTGCATTCTTATACAATTGTTTATATTATATATAGATTTATCAATTGACGAATCAATAGACATCCGATCGATAAAACAGATCGATAAAAATATTCGAATTCGTTAGATCCATTTATTATAATAATTATTACTCGCGTGCTGTTTCTTGGACTCTCGTACATTTATTACTCGCGTGGAATTTTTTCCAAGTTAAACGAGTTAATCTTTCAAAGTTTCGAACTTTCACAAGATCGTTCGAGAGCTACGAAGAATTTATTAATTCGTATTGAAATTGAATCGAGATTCCTTAACGCTGGATATTACGCAAAACTTGTTCGACTATTTTACAACGAGGATGAAACGTAATCTGTGTTGTACAAATCGTGATATTTCCATAAATGCACGGAATGTACTCTGCTTCGTTTCCACTACGATGCGATAAGATGAAATTTTTTTAACGATAACGATGCACGTTGCAATGGAACGACGAATTAAGGTAACGATCGGAATAAGATAGTACAAAGAACAAAGTTCGTGGTATTCCAGATACGAGAAAGCAAGGAGGAGTGTAGTTTGTCACGTTGCATCGTGTCACAGAGTGCGCAAAGAGGTCACGTCAATGCACGTTACGCTACTCATGGAGCAAACAGAGGAGAAGAGAAGGGGCTGGCTCTCGCGGAAGATTCTCGATGAATGGAAACCGACCGACTGCGACAGTGATTAACGGTGGTATAATCATAATTGCTGATTCGAAAATAAGAAATTCTTCCGAGTGGCGATGAAATTTTTATCGCGATTCGAGCGAAAGATTCCAAGTGGTTCGAAGCGCTGTTAAACTTATAAATTCCGAGATGAATTTTTATCAAAAACTTGCTAAACGAACGGAACCTATTCGCGTTAGAATCACTATTTTAGAGAAACTATTCGTAGAAATTACCGGCAGTAAAGTAGCAGAGGATGGCACGCTTTAAGAGAACCTTAATTTTCTACCATTTTTTTCAAGATTACTTACTCGAGATGGAAGGTACACCGAGAACGACACGATGCGCAAACAGGCCACGCCAACGAATAATAGCACATTTCAAGAGATCCCAGATCAATGAACAAAAAGCTGGTAAGGGAACGGTAATAATTACGATAATTTCTTGCTTCGAAACACTCTCATGCGTGTTCAGATTCCAACCCCGTTTTTCTCTCACCATATTGTAAAAAAAAAAAAGGAAGAAGAAAACGTCGTCCCACATAAATATATACCCGACGTATACGTTTCATATATGGTCGAGCAAAGGTGACCGAATCGTCTGTGATCAAGATCCGAAACGATGGAGTCGAGGAGAAAAATTGAATCGTAACCCCTCATGGAGAGGGGTATGCCCTGCTCGCTCCTAGAAGCGAGGAACAACCTAATCCCGAGGAAGGAAGGAGTCGAAGTATCGAGCGGCTGCGGAGGCGTATTCGTACGATCTTTACCTGCTCGGTACAGACGCATAAGTCGTGATTTGCGACCGTGGTTGCAACTGCTGGT